TGTTTGTTGATATTATTATGATTTATTTAATTCATTTATTTTCTTCTTATTATTTTTATAAAATTAATAATTTTAGTAATTAAAAACATTAAAAATATACTTAATTGCTTTTAAATGTCTTTATTAATCATTTAATGTCAAACAACTGCTAACTATTACTTTATATAACTAAACAGTTATATCAATCATAATTCACTATTTATTATTTATTACTTTTTTTTTTTGCTATTTGTTACTCATTACACACTACCTTTATTTGCTACTTACTATTGACTATATCTTAGATTTTAACCATTATACCAAATAAACTCTAAATCAAGTAAAGAAATATAACGTGGAAATCAATGAGTAAGTAGAGAAACCCATTCCATTTAAAGAGGTTTCAATTCATCACGCCTATGTCTTCTCTCAAGATTTTTTAAAAAAAATTATTTTATTTTATTTTGATTAAGAGTTGTATTTGTTACTTTCAAACTCAATTTGGTTTAGGGTTGACCAATACAATCTTCCCTTTAAGAACACTTAACCAACTTGAAGAACTATACCCCAAGTTTAAGTCCATCCAGGACTAAATCCCAAGTCCAAAATGCTTAGGGATTCTTTTCACATTTTTAGATAAAAAGATAAAATTAATTTCTCATTATTTAAAATTTTTTGAAGCAACGTATTAGATAATGACTGTTCAATTTTGTATATATGAAAAAAACTAGATAAATATAATAGTATAATACTGCTCTTTTATTCGCATTACTTTTATTTTAGTCGCACCTAAACTCTGCGACTTTTAACATGATAACATCCTTTTTTTATGTCTATAACCAAAATCATGAACTTTAATTGGCGGAGGAATTGTATGTCGTGCAGGTTGCATTACCAAACTTAGAGGAGTTGCAAGTATCTTGGATTAATGTTGACATCATATGGCATGCTTCGATGGCATCTTCTTATATTAAGAAACTGACGAAGTTGATCATTGAGAACTGTGATAATTTAAAATATCTATTCACATCTGCTATGGCTAGAGATCTGGTAATGCTTGAACACCTTGAAATAAGCGGATGCCAGAAGATGGGAAAGGTTCTTTTTACAGAGAATGTAGAAGAAAATGGGAATTTGATTTTTCCTCAATTGAGGATTCTAGAGATACGAAGCCTTCCAAAACTCGGAAGATTCTGCCATGGCAATTACATCAAATTCCCCTGCCTTTCGCGACTTTTGATCAGGAGCTGCCCTGTATTAAAGACTTTCATCTCATCAAGCTCTAGTTTTGACACTGGTACACCTCCTCTATTTGATGCGAAGGTAATTTCTTCTTTCTGGTTTTTCTTTATTTTTCACTTATTAATGTCTTGTAATACAACTTCATGGATGGCCTCATAAAGGTTTACACTCTTTTGAAAATTAGATTCCAAAAAATTTTCATTCCATTATCTCTCTAATTCTGTTTAGTTTTTTAATACAATTTGGTAAATTTTTAGGTGATATTCCCCAGGCTAGAGCAACTAATGATTGAATTTATGGAAAGCTTGGACAAGATATGGGACAACCAACTTGATGCAAGTTCTTTTTACCAACTAAATTATCTTAGTGTGAATTCATGTAACAAGCTATTAAATATTTTCCCATTTAGTATGCTGGAAAGGCTTCAGAGACTAGATGAGTTAGGGATATGGGGCTGTGATTCACTTGAAGAGATATTTGAGTCTCAAGGGCTTGATGCTGGCCAATCACAAACTCAAAAATTCACGCCACCAACTTTGATGGCATCTGTTGTAAAGTTTGTGTTTCCAAAATTGACGCAGCTAGATCTTTTTATGCTGCGCAAACTGAAGGCCTTATGTCATCAAATGCATACTATTGAATGGCCATCATTGAAAAATTTGACAGTGTATAGATGTGACCAAGTACAGATATTTGCTTCAGAACTCTCAAGCTTCCCAAGAACAAATGGAGATGACCAACTCGAAGTTTCTCTTTTCTGGACAAGCAAGGTAAGAGCTCTAAACAACAATTCAATAAATGTTTGCTCATGTGTACGATGCATTTGCATTAAAGTAAAGCTTTTCTCCTGTTTGAACATATTCATAAGCATAATCAATAATACTCTGCTTTTTCTCTTTATGGGCTGCTTAAGAAAACCAAACTATTTATTTTTTTAATTTATAGAGATAATATTTTCCATAAATAAAAATTATTTATATCCCATAAGCATATTTGCATCCTTCTTCTTTTATTCTTTTTTTAATACCTTTTTATTTCCATATTTCAGGCTACATTCCCCAGTCTAGAAGAAATGAGATTGTATGCGAATGGTAATATGAAAGAGATATGGCATGGGCAGCATATTCCAGGGGATTATTTTCCCAAATTAAAAGTTCTTGAACTCAGCCACTTGCATAAGCAGTTAGTTGTCCAGCCTTTTCTGTTTCAGGCTCCGACTCTTGAAAAGCTTGTTGTGAGTCAACCTTCCTTTCATGATATATTCGAATGCCAAGGACTTGGTGGTGTGGAAAAACCTGCACTTGCATTTACTCAATTAAGTGGATTAAGGTTGTCTGACCTTCACGAGTTAACATGTCTCTGGAAGGAAGAATCAAATTTGGAATCAGTTTTCTCTAACCTGAATATTCTTGAAGTGGTACTGTGTAGCAAATTAAAGAATTTAGTGCCGTCCTTCATATCTTTCAAGAATTTGACAACTTTGAAAGTATTTGCATGTCATGAGCTCATATATTTAATTGATTACTCAACAGCCAAAAGCATGGTGCAACTCACAAGAATGAGTATAAGTGAATGTCATATGTTAAAAGAAATTATGGCGTGTGTGGATGATGAAATGAAGGATGGCATTGTCTTTAGCCAACTCAAGTATTTGCAACTTTGTGTTCTACCAAGATTGGCAAGCTTTTGCTCGGGAAGTTGCAACTTTGAATTCTTATCTTTGGAAGAAGTAATTGTGACTTGCCCAAATATGCAGATCTTCTCTCACGGGGAATGCAGCACCCCTAAAAAATTGCAAAAGGTGAAATTGACAAAAGATGGAGATGAAGAGTTTTGGGAAGGCAACCTTAATAGCACCATACAAAAGATGTTCATAGAAAAGGTATGCATTAATTCAAAATATTTTCTTATGTTTTCTGCCTAAATTTCCAAGTTTTATGTACTACTCTTAGCCCTTTGTTTGTTTAATTTGTTTGGTAAAATGTAAATTTTTACCAATAACAATAACAAGTGTATGAAGTGGCACCAATAATAAAGGCTGATATGAGATTGGGTATTTTTGGCAAAAGAATGACCTGAATGAAAACAAACCATCAACACTTATGCACCGTGGCATCTACC